GAACCCCAAGAGCCTATGTCCTCTCACCCATTTCTCCCATTCCCCTTGCACCTCTTCCTGTCGTCACTTCTAGGAAAAGGGTGATGAGTCCCCAGTTGCACCTACCATCCCACCATATGCATCCCTACATACCCACACATGCACACCACACACTTCCAGAGGGAAACCCAGAAGATTCTAAGTGATATCCAGCCAGTCTTGTGCTGGGTTATGAGGCGTCTCCCCCTGCTTTACTCTGAGTATGACAATGCCCATATTTGTTTCTCTGTGGTACCTACAGTATCCAGGACGCTTCTGATCTCATGTGATAGAGGCAGCAGTTCCAAACTCCCCCTCTCCACCAAAAGGAACACTTATCTCTGTGGAGAGTCAGTCAGTAGGTAAAGACAGTGAGGCCGCCCGCCATGTGCCCGGCACAAAAGAACACAAGACCTTCTTACTGGAGGCTTAGGGCAAAGCCCTCTTCCTCCCAGAGAAGCACAGACTGATAATCTCACAAAGTACCTCCAAAAGAAGGAGACAGCTGCCCTGCAGGTCCTGTAGGTTCAAGGTGCTACGGGAACAAGCGATGGGGTTGGCAGGAAAAGGGGGCCTGTAGGCATTTCAACCAGGGGCCTAGGTACATTCCCCAATCCAAGCCTAAGGGGGAGAAAGAGTAGTTTTGTTTGTTTGTTGTTTTTCTCGTCTTGGGCCTTTCTCTTTCACCAGGTGCTGGAAGTAAGAGTTCTTAGCACCTTTCAACTTCTAGAGTGGCAGGTTTAATGCACAGGACTTTCCATAAGACTAGAGACCGGGGGAACGAGGTAGGTACCAAACTCAAGCGCTGGCAGCTCTTTCTGAGCAAAGATAAAGCAGGTAGGGCCACAAACCCTAACAAATGCTAGAAATACGAAAGAGCCACAGGCTATGCGAGAAACTTGGCCGCTGCAGAGCCTGTGGCTTTGAGGTTTACAGCTGTCACGTGTATCTTTCCAGCCACACCCTCCAAGGCTGGGGACACGCACTTGGAGTCCTCTTAGAATGGAGGACAGCAAACAGACAGGAGAGAACGCACTGGGCAAAGGAAATTCTGTTATTTTGTTAAGCTGTTATTATAATAAATAATCACAGGGCTCCAGGCGCAAGAGACTTTTTCATGTTGGTAGATGTTATGGCTTTTGTTGCTGATATGATCTCAGTTAAACCTTACAATCACCCTGTGTGGAAGACCAGTTCTATTAACGTCTTTAATGATGGAGAAACTGAGGCTGCGGTCAGTTTTCAGTCAGACTAGTCACAGAACAGGGACTGAGACACAGGGATATGACTCTGTGTGATACCACACACTTCCAGGAGAGAACCCAGAACAAGGTGGAGCAAGCCTGATCCAATATACCACTAGAGAGCGCTATGAGAGGGAGAGGAAGAACAGAGGGACTGAATTAAAGGAGCACTACCAAAAACTGGAGTGGAGACCCCAGTCCTAGCAACACCGTTTATTTCCTACAGACCCTAAAGCCCAGCCACGGACACATTCATTCATCCAACCCTGACTTGGACACCACAAGAATGTTCCCAGCTTGAGAGCAGCTTCGCCAGCCAATTAGGGCCCTTGTCATTCATAGAGATACAGGGAACCCGGAGACAGAGGGACAGGGAAGGAAATTTAGCCAGGCAAGCCATCCTCCATCTCCGAGGAAGTTTGTAAATGATCACAGCTTCCTAACCCAACCATGAGAATGCAAGAGGCAACCTGGCCCAGAAGGGAGGACAAGGAGTCTCAGGAACCAGAGGAGACCGCAGTGAGAGTGAGGGGAATGTCGCTCATATATCCCACTTCTGAGACAAGTATACCGCAACAAACCCTTGCCAACCTTCCTCCAGTTCTTCCCACTTTTGAATATCACATTTTTCTTGCTCTGCAAGAGTAGGGAATCCTTCCCATCAGTCTTGTGAATTCTGACCCCTTGCTGGCTTTCTACAACTCCCTGCCTGGGAGGCCAACACCAGGACATTGCTGTCGGGGTGGGATCCCCATCCTCTGCCCGCCACTCCTACACTATAAGAGAACCAACTTCCCCAAAAAGTGGAGGGTATCCCTGTCTCTCTTCTTGTCTCTGTAAAGGGGGTGAAACTCTGGGTCGCCGCAGATGTATCTAAAGGGACAGTCCACGGAGTGGTCAAGGATATCCAAAAACTGGCCTTCTAGAGCACAGCAAAAAAGTGGGAGCGAGAGGAGTGCAGAAGGCCACTGCTGGGATGGGGCCAGGGCCACACGTGAACATCCCAGCACGTTCCAGAGCTGAGATGCAAAACACCCAGAAAATCAGATAGGAAGTGGAAAAGGGTCAGGGTCTCTCCTACTGGAAAAGCCCAGAAGAGCTAGTGGCCACCCCTCGGGGGAAGAGGGGATTGTGCAATGACTGCCGGTCTGGGAGTCTCTGGGCTTGGCTCCCGGACTTCAGAAAGGAAACCCCACGCGTCAAGCCAGGGTGGCAGCGCGGCGGTTGGTTCGAGGCCAGGCTGGGGTTTCAGGGCTGCAGACAGAGCTGCAGGATACGGTGAGTCCTCAAGGGAGCGGCAGAGCATGGCATGGCTGGCACGGCGCGGAGCTGAGGGTGCTGTCTGGGCTGGCCAGGGTACAGGCCGGAGGGATACAGTGCACAAAGCTGGGGTGCAGATAACGTACACGGCAGCCAGGAGCCCCAGATCAGAGGAGGGCCCGCTGACCCGCAGGGGTGTGCCGGGTGGCGCACGACAGGGGGCACTGTCCCTCCAGCTCCCTCCTCCCCAGGCTCTCACCTCGAACATAAGCCCGATGAGGACGCAGAGCACCAGGCAGAAGCCGATGTCCGCATGGTTGTGGATGACGAACTCCTGGCTGAAGAGCGGGTAACTTTTCGTCCTCCTGCGGAAAGCCATGGCAGCGGGCGCGCAGCGGCCGGCGGGGCCCGCACCCTGCGCTCACGAACCGTAGCGCAAACTTCTCCAGCCCCGGCCCGGTCCGCCCGCCGGCCCGCCGCCCGCTCTCCCACAGCCGCCCGCCCGCCCAGCGCGGAACAACTTCGGGGCCCGCCCCCTTCCTCCGCCCGCCCCCGCCCCCGCCGCCCGTAACCGCCCCCGGCCGCAGCCCCCGCCCAGCCCGCGGCCCGCACTCGGCGCGCCCGGCCCCGCCCTCCGCGCGCTTAACCCTCTAGCCGCTGGGCACGCGCTGGCGGCCGGGGCGGAGGCATCCGGGGGCGGCGAGCGGGACCCGGCTCCTCCTTGTCCCGCGGCAGCGCCGCGCCCGGGCGCATTCTCGGGGCCGGGGGCTCAGCCGCTCACGGCGGAGAAAGCAGGCCGCGGAGGAGGCGGGCGCCCGGGCCTGCCCGGACAGGAAGTGGGCCCAGGTTTCCCACTCCTCGCTCTGCTCCTTCCTCCGCGGGAAGGGCAGGCCCGGGAGGCAGCGAGCGCCCCGGGGGTGGCCGGGCAGCCGGATACTCTCAGGGTTGCGGGCTGTGGCCCTGGGGGTTGAGGGCAGCGCGGGTGCGGCGGAAGCAGGGAAGCTGCGAACCGGCCTTTTCGCTGGCCACAGCGCCCTGCACGGACAATCAGTGAATGGAGATTACTCAAGTATTTATCGAGAACTTGCAGTGGGCTAGGCACGGTTCAGGTTGTGTGAATGCGCAGATCAACAAACCGAAAGACCCTGCCTTAGGGGAGCTTTCCCTCCAATGCGGGGAGAGGGTGGATGATTGCAGTTTTGCCCAGTAACTTTTGGGAACCTCACGCCACCATTAATTAGCTACACACATCTCACCGAAAGTCTACCTTACATATTAATCAGAAGAAGTGGAAGAATAAACACAGAAGAAGCAAAAAAGGGAGGCACTTTCTCATTGAAAGTTTCTATTTAATATTAAATCTTAAAAGTACTCCTGGAAGGACAAAAGGTGTTTTTAATAAATTAATTTATATTCTCAAATATTGGATTTAATCCTACCAGTAATGAGGGAGTCAGTTACTTTCTAGATGTGCAGAAATACGTAATGAACAAAAAACTAATTCCTATTCCGTTTTTTATTAGGTCCACAGTTGTTTCACTTCTAAGTAAATATGATTTTTTAAAAGTGGCACGGGGTGGAATGTAATTGAGAAAGGATGGAGTTCCTAGAGAAATTTTACTTCCTCAATTTACACTCCACCTTAAGCATACAGTCTTGGGTCTGTAATTCCCTTATCTGACTCTCAAGGAAATGAAAAAGTAGTGCCTAGATTGGACTAAACCTCATTTAACTTCAAGACTGACGTTTCTCAAAGTTGAACCTTCGTCTTGTGAGGAACAGAAAAGATCAAGAACGCTGAAGCACCTTGATTTTCCAGCTGTGAAGATGTGTTCAAATTTTCAACATGCGGCCACATCTGTGAGGTTGAACTTTATACAATTGGTTTATTTATAGGTTCAGATGGTTGAATTTAACAGTTACTCCCACCGCTGCTATTATTATTATTATTATTATTATTTTGAGACAGAGTCTTAACTCTGTCGCCCAGGCAGGAGTGCAGTGGCGAGATCTTGGCTCACTGCAACCTCTGCCTCCCGGCTTCAAGCAGTTCTCATACCTCAGCCTGTAGCTGGAACTACAGGTGTGTGCCACCACACATGGCTAATTTTCGTATTTTTTAGTAGAGATGGGGGTTTCACCATGTTGGCCAGGCTGGTCTCAAACTCCTGACCGCAAGTGATCCGCCGTTTTTTGAGACGGATTCTCTATTGCCCAAGCTGAAGTGCAGCGACGCCATCTGGCTCACTGGAACCTCCTCCTTCCAGGTTCAAGCAGTTCTGCTGCTTCAGCCTCCCTAGTAGCTGAGATTACAGGTGCCCTCCACCACCCCCTGCTAATTTTTGTATTTTTACTAGAGACAGGGTTTCACCATGTTAGCCAGGCTAGTGTTGAACTCCTGACCTTCAGTGATCTGCCCATCTGGGCCTCCCAAATTGCTGAGATTACAGGCCACTGCACCCAGCCTTTTGCTACACTACTATACTATACTATACTATACTATACTATACTATACTATACTATGGGCAGCACGGTGTTTGTTTATACCAGCATCACCAGAAACACGTGGTTAATGCATTGCCCTACCGTGTTACAGTGGCTATGACATCACTAGGTGATAGGAAATTTTCAGCTCCATTGCAATCTTGTGGAACAACTGTTATATATGTTGTTTGACCAGAACATCATTACATGGCATATGAGTGTATGTCCTCCAGTTTTTCGATATTCCTCCTGTCAGAAAGAGGCAATTCGTTCCCCTCCCCTTGAGTGTGGGCTGGACTTAGTGGCTCACTCCTAACAGATAGAATATAGCGTAAGTGATGGTATGTGACTTCCAAGACTAGGCCAGAAGAGGCATTTGGGGTTTCTGCTTTCTTTCTCTCACGTCACTCCCTCTGGAGGAAACCAGCTGCCACTTTGTGAGGATACTCATAGTCCTGTGGAGGCATATCCTCTGTATGACTGAGGCCTTCTGCCAACAACCATCCCTGACTTGCCAGGCATGAGTGTGCCACCTTGGAAGCAGATTTTCCAGCCCCAGTCGAGCCTTCAGATGACATCAGCCGCTGCTAATCTCTTGACTACAACCTCATGAGAGACCCTGAGCCAGAACTAGCCAGGTAAGCCACTCCTGAATTCCTGACCCACTGCACCTGGAAGAGAATAAATATTTGCTATTTTAAACCACTAAATTTTATTGTAATTTCTTATACAGCAAGAAGTAGTTAATACTGCTAAGCTTACAATCTTTTAGAATAGACTGAGACATCATTACAATTCAGTGTGATGCTGGTGACTCTAAGAATAACCTGAAAAATGCACACTCTGAGTACAAGCAAAAGGTAACTTAATTCTGTCTGGGGGTGTGGGGAGGAGGTCATTTGGGCTGGGCCTTTACCTGACAGATTGTACTGTCAGAAAATGCAAAAAGATGTGGTAGATGAATTTGGAGAGTTAAGACAGAGCTGGATTGTGGCAGGTTTTGCATACTGTGGTAAAGAATTGTGACTTTATTCTGCAAACAATGGGAAGGAATGGAAAGTTGATGTTTTTCGTTTGTTTGTTTTTGAGATGGAGTTTCGCCCTTGTTGCCCAGCCTGCAGTGCAATGGCAGCATCTCAGCTCACCGCAACCTCCGCCTCCCGGGTTCAAGCAATTCTCCTGCCTCAGTCTCCCGAGTAGCTGGGATTACAGGCATGTGCCACCACGCCCGGCTAATTTTGTATTTTTAGTAGAGATGGGGTTTCTCCATGTTGGTCAGGCTGGTCTTGAACTCCCGACCTCAGGTGATCCGCCCGCCTCAGCCTCCCAAAGTGCTGGGATTACAGGCGTGAACCACTGCACCCGGCAAGAAATGGAAAGCTTTTAAGCATGACCAGATCTGTCTTTAGAGAAGAACTATCAGGAGTATGGAAGACCATCCTGATTTAAACAGGAAGACCACTTTGGAAGCTATTATAACAGTCCAGTAAAGTAATTAACACTTCTCTCTTTTTTTTGAGACAGGGTCTCTGTCACCTAGGCTGGAGTGCAGTGACGCAATCACGGCTCACTGCAGCCCCAACCTCCTGGGCTTAAGTGGTCTTCCTGCCTCAACTTCCGAGTAGCTGCAACTACAAGTGCACACCACCATGCCTGGCTAATTTTTATTTTTTATTTTTTTTTAGAGACAGGATCTCCCTATGTTGCCTAGGCTGGTCTCGAACTCCTGGGCTCAAGTGATCCTCCTGCCTCTACCTCCCAAAGTACGGGGATTACAAGCATGATCCACTGTGTCTGGCTAGCACTTCTCAAAGAACAGTAGCAGTAAGAATAAAAGGGAGTCGAATGAGTCAGAACTTGCATCTGGGATGACAGAAATGATGGTGGGACCATTAAAAATTTATTTGGAATAGCAGATAAAGAGCATGTTTAAGGGAGGACAAGAAGATGGCCTCCACTTTGAGCAAGCTGAGGTTGAGGAGCCATGGAACACTTTGACAGCTCAGTTGGAAACTGTTGGATTGAATTTGGGGAGGGAAAATCACAACTAAAGTATTTTCAGTTCATCTTCAGTAGGACGGTTGAAGTCATCAGGTTACATGAGTGTTCCTGAGAGAATGAGAAAAAGTCTGAGGTCAGCAGAATCCTGGTGAACCCCGACACTCAGAATGGGGGAAGATGAGGAAAAGGAAAGGGTGGCGTAGAGGAAGCCACGTCATAAGAATTTCATTAAGGACGGGTTGAATCAGGCAGAATGAGAATGAGATGAAGCCCCTAGATTCAGCCATCCTGGCTTTTAGAGACCACTTAATTGAACATTGGAGTGGGCTTAACAGTAGGTAGAAGTTGAGAAAAGGAGGTGGGTAAAAAGGTCTATTTCTAAAAAAAATGTTTTGTGAGAAAAAGAGAAATGGATGGTGTTTTGAGGGCTATGGAAGATCTAGGGAAGGATCTTTAAATTATATTTAATTTTTGAGGTTGGAACATATTTGGAGACAGAGAGGAGAAACCAGGAGACAGGGAAATACTGAAAATACTTGAGATACGGGAGATCACTGATGAAACCGAGGAGGAGACCGGAGGGTGGCTCCAGCAATAGGAACAAAAGGGAAAACTCTCCTGACAAGGATCAGGGACCTAGAAATGGGTGAACACAGTTCCATCTGGATGTGGAGGAAATAACAACCCCTTACATTTATATTGCACTTTACAGTCACCCTGTGAAGGAGGTAAGACTGGTTATTACCAGCCCTTTCTTGTAGCTGTTCTGAGACATGACTGACCAAGGGCCACATAATGAGTAGGTAGCTGAAGCTGGACTCAGACCAGCCAGTCAGGCTCTCAGCACAGGGTTCCCTTTGCTGGACCATACTTCAGCCCGCTCAGGCTTCCTAAAGCACAGCACTGTCAGGTAGGCACTACCTCTCCCTGTCTACCTATCTAGTCATGGCTGCCGACAATTCGGCTATATCAATTTTTTTTTTTTGGGGGGACAGAGCTTTGCTGTGTCACCCAGGCTGGAGTGCAGTGGCACGATCTTGGCTCACTGCAACCTCTGCCTCCTGGGTTCAAGTCTCCCAAAAGTACCTGGGATTACAGGCATGTGCCACCATGCCTGGCTAATTTTTGTATTCTAGTAGAGATAGGGTTTTGCCATGTTGGTCAGGCTGGTCTTGAACTCCTGGCATCAAGGGATCTGCCCACCTTAGCCTCCCAAAGTGCTGGGATTACAGGCATGGGCCACTGCAACTGGCCTCAACTCTTAACTAAATTAGATTACTCCCTCTTTACAAAACAGAACTTATGATTTCCAATCCCTATGTCTGTGTGTTTTTGTTCACCTCTCAATGTTAACCATCTTTCAAGATAAAGAGTGTGCACCTCTTCTATCACTAAGCTTCATGGCATTAGTCTGGGGGCATCGACACAGCAATTTGTGTGTAGCTATCAGCTAGGACCAGGTCCTCCTGCAATCGGTATGTTTATCTATGAGTTTTACCGCTCATTATGTGGTGCGATCCTTCAAGGCATGAATCCTGCCATGGAGAACTGTCATAGTCCAACAGCATAAAGCACAAGAGTCCCACATCTTATGTTCTCATCAGATATTGGTTGAACGCATGATTGAATGAGAGATGCTGTTGCTGTGGGCTGTGTAAGAATGACCACTATCCCCAACCTTATCTACATGGAGCACAGCATGCTTTTGTGTTGATGAATCCTTTCCAGTAGCTGTCCTTTCCCCAAAGTGGAAAATTTATTTTCTCACATAACAAGAAGCCCAGACTTAGTTCATTCCTAGGGATAAGTAATGCATCAAAGACTAGGATCTCACTATCCATCCACTTTGAAACTTGTTTGCTTTTGTCACAGGCTTACCCCTCATGGTTGCAAAGTGGCTGCAACAGCTCCAGGTCTTCTATCCTTTAACACAGAATAACTCAAACAACAAGACCCAAAATTCAGACAAGAAGGAAAGGGACTTTTGAAGGGTGAAGAAAACTTTCCTGGAAACCTCAGACTTCTCCTCATGCCTTATTGACCAGATTGTATCCCATGCCCATTTCTAAACCAATCGTTGGCAAAGTGAATGGTATTGATGTGATTAGATTAACATTACCAAGAATGCATCCTCAGGGAGGCTGAGAAAAAGTCCAGCCTCCTTTGAAGAACCTGGCTTCCTTTTACCTGAACAAAACAAGAACTCTGATGAAAAGAAAAATGGAGAATTTATATGGAGCAGGCATCCAGAGTGTCTATGCCAGGATTTTTTTTTCAGTGCATTTCACCAGTTATATTTTTATCTAAATCTTTATCTTACAAGATATGTGGCACATTTGCCTAAAACAAGCCTTGCTTTCTGATTTCTGTGCACTCGGCACTTAAACCTTGCAAATATCGTTTACCTAACAGTCACTGTCAAGGACTACCTGGCTAAAGAATCTCCAGCTAGAAAAGTAGAAGTATCTGTGCTCTGGCAGTTGAATATATTGTATCAGGCTCAACAGCAGCTTTCACCAAAGGATGAGACTTCACAACCATTAGATCTTCTTTTATTTTGTTTTTATTTAAAAAAAAATTTTAACACACCATTGCTACCTTGAGGCCATTAGATCTTCTTACCCCCAATACCACAAAAATTTAGTGGAATCAGGGGTATATCAAGGCAAGTGGAGTAGGGGAGCTGGAAGCGGTCAGCCCCCAGGGCAGGCAATGACGGATTGTGAATTTGGGAAGAATTTTAAAGCAGTGATACAGCTCTAAATGCAATGTACTATCCTGGACTTAGCCCTGGGAGAGAAAAAAGATATTAGTGGAAAAACTGATAAAATTCAAATAATGTCTGTAGTTTGGTTAACAGTATTGTACCCATGTTAATTTCTGTTTTGATAAAGGTACCGTGGTTACGTAAGCTGGATGAAAGATATGTGGGAAATCTCTCTACTATATCTGTAACTCTCCTGTAAACCTAAAAATATTTCAAAATAAAAGATTTAATGTTAAAATTGACTGAAAATTGATCCGCTTTTTTATTATCACTATGTGCTGCACATGCTAAACAATTTTAGGAATAAAATACTTCCCTCCTCCAAATCTTTCGGTCTAAGTTCTAAACAATTGCTGTTTAGAATCTTAATAATATATATGTAAATTTCAACTTGCATATCTTTATTATTTATCTTTTAATGAACTTTGCAGGCTGGGTGCAGTGACTCATGCCTGCAATCCCAGCACTTTGGGAGGCCAAGGACAGAGGATTGCTTGAGCTCAAGATTTCAAGACCAGCCTGGGCAACATAGCAAGACCTCATCTCTACTGAGAAAAAAAAAAAAAAAAAAAAATGAACCAGGCATGGTGGCATGCACCTGTAGTTCCAGCTACTGGGGGAGCGGGGGGCGCTGAGGCAGAAGGATAGCTTGACCCAGGTGGTTAAGGCTACAGTGAGCCATCACTATACCTCTGCACTCCAGTCCGGGTGACAAAGTGAGTCCCTGTCTCAAAAAACTAAAAAAAAAATTAAACATTGCATTCTACATGCAAGTTAATCCTAGAAACTCATGTACCCAATCAGCCCCTGATGTGTGCAGTGTCAGGTACACATATTTGTTCATACCCTATTGGAATCATCTGAGTTTGTTTGGGACACAGTTCACTTCTCCAATCTGGTACTACAGATTCTTGTGTTTAAACTAAAAATTTCAAATGGTGATAGCATGGTGATTGTAAAGACAAAGAAACAGGACTGGTTACTTTAATTCTGTCATTCTACATGACCACTTGAACCTTTTATTTGTGTTTAAAACTTAAGCTAGTGAAATAGAGGGCATAATGCCAATACTATCATTTGTTTCATGGCATGCAGTGTGTGTGTGTGTAGGGGGGGGCATTCTTTTCATTTTCATTGAGAGGGCAAGGGGTTAAAAATGATCTGCTCCAGGGCTGGGCATGTTGGCTTATGCCTGTAATCCCAGCACTTTGGAAGGCCAAGGCAGGAGGGTCATTTGAGCCCAGGAGTTTGAGAATCACCTGGGCAACATAGGGAGACACCCCATCTCTACAAAAAAAAAAAAAATTAAGAAAAAAATATCTCCTCCTGGCATCAAATATGCTAAATATAAGAGTGAATGCAATTAAGATTTGAGGTATTAAAAACTACCTTAGGGCTGGGCACGGTGGCTCATGCGTGTAATCCCAGCATTTTGGGAGGCCGAGGCAGGTGGATCACCTGAGGTTCGAGACCAGCCTGGCCCACATATAAGTGAAACCCTGTCTCTACTAAAAATACAAAAACTAGCTGAGTGTGGTGGCGCACACCTGTAGTCCCAGCTACTTGGGAAGGTGAGGCAGGAGAATCGCTTGAACCCAGGAGATGGAGGTTGCAGGGAGCTACGATCGCTCCACTGTACTCCCCCCTAAGCAACAGAGCAAGACTGTGTCTCTCAAAAAAAAAAAAAGAAAAAGAAAAAAAGAAACTAACTTAAACATTGTAGATCCACTTTCTCACTTTAGAAGCAAAGAAAGGAAGGCTCAGAACTTGCTGCCATTAGTAAGGATTTCGTGAGCGGGGTTGAAAACAGGCCCCCCTCCCTCCTGGTCTGTTGCTCCCAGCACTGCCTCTGAACCCTATGCCTGTTCTCCTTCAGCAGACAGGCGATAACGCAGAAAAACCAAGTCCCTTGTCCAATGGCCACTAGTGACTCAGTGGCAGAGTAGGCGTGGGAACCGGGACTCCTGACAGCTCCAGGAGTCTGACCACTGCACCCAGTTTCCCCTTTCCAGCTCTCATTCAGCTAGAGACAGAGCAATTCCCGGCAACTAATGAATGTGCCACTGGACTTTCAGATGGCAAGAGAGGAGCATTGTTAAAAACAGACTTAAAAAAAAAAGGACACAACTTGACACTAGACATGAGTAAACTTCAGCCAGAATTCCCACCACCAGAAAAATACTGAGATATGACATTTGGGAAGCAAGGGAACAATTTCAGGCACTGTTTTCCTCTAATCTGGGAGACATCTTTGTTTTGTTGTTGTTGTTGTTGTTTGTTTGTTTGTTTTTGAGACAGAGTCTCACTCTGTCACCCAGGCTGGAGTGCAGTGGTGCGATCTCAGCTCACTGCAACCTCTACCTCCCGGGTTCAGGTGATTCTCCTGTCCCAGCTTCCTGAGTAGCTGGGATCACAGGTGTGTGCCACCAGGCCTGGCTAATTTTTGTATTTTTAGTAGAGCTGGGGTTTCACCATGTTGGCCAGGCTGATCTCAAGCTCCTGACCTCAGGTGATCCGCCCCCTTCAGTTTCCCAAAGTGCTGGGATTACAGGTGTAAGCCACCGCGCCTGGCCTAATTTGGGAGGCATGTTTGGATGAAAAGTGTATTAGAAACTTAAGCTGCTGACAAATATGCTTATTCCTTACTTTTTCTTTTCTTTTCTTTTTCTTTCTTTTTTTTTTTTTTTGAGATGAGGTCTCACTCTGTTGCGCAGGCTGGAGTGCTGTGGCACGATCACGATTCGCTGCGGCCTTTGCCTCCCAGGCTCAAGTGATCCTCCCACTTCAGCCTTCCCAGTAGCTGGAACCACAGGTGCATGCCACCATGCCCAGCTAATTTTTAAAATTTTTTTGTAGAGACAAGGTTTCACTATGTTGCTCAGGCTGGTCTCAAACTCTTGGGCTCAAGCAATCCTCCCACCTCTGCCTCCCAAAGTGCTAGAATTACAGGTGTGAGCCACTGTGCTGGCCCTTAGTTGTTCTATGTACACAGAGAAAGCAATAATTATCAGAGGGACACTGTTAGGATGCAGTATGCCATCACACTGAGGAAAAGTTCAATAGAAAGAACTCTGTGGAAAGAAGATTTCCATGAGCCAAAACAACTCATGAACCCCTGTTACTCAACTGCCGTGCCTGCCTTCTCTGAGCAGCTGTCTCCTAGGCCGCAGAGAAACTCAGAAACTATCTTGATTAAAATTAGGCATCTCTCTATGAACCTTGTTACCAGTCCTTGCAATTCATCCCATCTCTGCTTCTCAGATCACACAGCCCAGTGTTCAGGAACCATTCGCTTGTTAATTATCAGGCACAGACAATGCATGCAACTACCAGTGTTCTGCTTTACACAACTCTCTACCACAGTAATTGGTTAGATATGCCCCGCTCCCTGCTGGACTAATAAATGAACTCTTACCACGTGCTTGGAAGGATGATGGATGAATGAGCAGAGGATAAATGGATGGATATGTAAATGGATGAGTGATGGATGTGTGGGTGGATGGATGCATGCGTGGATAAGTGGATCGGTGGGTAGTAGGTAGATGGATGAATGGGTGAATGGATGGTTGGTTGTGTAGAAAGGTGGCTGGGTGGATGGATTAATGGACCAAAGTGTGGAAATCTGTACCATTCCATCTTTATGTTGATACCCAAGGTAATTCCATAGTGAAGAAGCCCCAAGTGGATTCTGCTTCCAAGTAAAAGATGTTCAGGACCAAAGTTATGTTTAGATTTGGTACAAGTTTGCCTTGGAGTAGACTTGAAGACCCTGAAAGGCAGGGATCATAGCTTTCCATCTATGAGACAGTAACCTTCATTGCCTGCCACAGAGTAGGTACTGAGTAAATATTTGTTGACAAACATGAATGAATGAATGATATGGGAAACCCAAGGACGGGCTCTCCTTGACTCTGAAGTTCAACCCCACCTTCTGATTCTTCGTGCTTATACAGTTTTAAAATTGTGTTCCTTTATAAATTGGTTAGGCATCCAGAAGTGTCCTGTTATGATGCAAAACATTCTTAGATATTAGAAATATTAAACCTTTTGCATCTGTTGTCCCTTGTCAGGAATTAGCTGGTCACATTGCTGTCTCCTTGATTCTTTGCTGATGATGTTGGGCATAGGGCAGGTCTGGCGGTTTCTCTGACTGGGCTGAAGGACTTTTGCTGACAAGTAGGAGAGGGTCCTTTACAGTAGGAATCACCACGCCTGCAAGGAAGGACCCAAAGGCTCCCGTCTGTCATGATCTCAGCAGCCAACCCCTGCCCACCATGCCTTCTTGGCAATCCTGCTCCTGATTTGAAGGGAATTCCTCACTTTGTCCCATGGGTTTCTGCAAGCTGAGCAGGACACCTAGGTGAGGACAGAAGTGAAAAGAGAAGAGGAAAGGTGAGAGCAAGAAAGGAAACATGAGAAAAAGGGAGACACACAACAGTAAGAAGAGAAGAGAGGAAAGAGAGGGATATGAGCAGGGGATGGGAGAGACAAAAAATAGATTGTATTTGCAGCACAATGCCTCTAGTAATAATAATATCATTATCTTGCCTGAACAGATGTGCGAGGACTCCCATCTACTCATTATCCAACATGAAAATGGAACGCGCTTCCATCAGCCTCATCGGAAATCTTGGCAGATGCTGTCAGAAAGTGTGTGCTGTTCCTGAGATGTGATTTTTCAACAGTGTAGACTGTACTATTTGACTAGGGGTGGGAAAAAGAGGAGAGGGAGTTGATTGTGCTTTCATTTGGTTTTGTTTTTAATTTTGAAATTCTTCTCTCCAAGGGGGCCTTGCCTTGGACTATGTCCACCTTTGCTGAATAGCCATATCTGCATGACCAGTGGTCTGGGGCTGGCTGGCAGTCCCAGGGCCCCACCAAAGCCCAGTGTGAAGGGCCCATTTCTTTGAAATAGTTCCCTCATGGTTCTCACTTCCTCTTACTCCAACATTATTCATAGCTACCATGCCCCTCTATTCCACTTCTGCCCTGACCTCAATGTCTTGCATTGAGACATTTGAAGAGTGTGGTTCAAGGAAAGAGCATGTTTGTTCCCAGCTGAACAAGGCTCAGGGAGACTAGCAGTGCCAGAGACAGGAGTGGGCACCATTCGTCTCTGAATTAAGCCATGCAGTGTGCAAGTTCCCCATGGCAAACACCACCTTATCCTGGGAAGACAGCCAAGGCCTGGAGCCCCATGTAGGAAATCTCCTGTGAGAGGCCCTTCCTGAGCCCCACAGAA